AACGACTTCGGTGGGCTCCTAGTTGTTGAGTTCTTGTTAGCACTCGGTCCTTCGACGGACATCTAGCGCTACCAGGGTAGGAGGTGGCGTGACTAAAGTTGCATTATCCGCCAGACCAGGGTGCGAAAAGTCTCTATTCCCTTACAGAAAGGTTGGTTATGGATGCAAGCATTACAGGTCTGCTTGAAACTATAGAGGTTTGAGGAGGCTTTTAAGAATCGAAGTAATAGGCAGTCAGAAGGGGCTAATGGAAGCCTGGAAGGTGTATTTCGCGGTCAAACCCGCTCTAGTTCTTTTTTGTTTTTTTTAAATACTCAGTACTCCTGTGCAATCCCAGTGAGGGGACTATGAGGAGCCGCCCGGAAACCCGGGTGGATTCAGGACAAGGCAAGTCAATCTGCCAGGTCCGCCGCGCGCAGAAAGCAAACAAGACGTAGAAAAATAAAACATGACCGCAGAACCCCCATGCTGTCATTAACCGACTTGTGACAGATGACCCCGAGAGGCCTGACTGAGGCCTGCCTGCCAAGCCCGCTCTAGTGATTTTGTTCCAGCATACATAACTACTATCATTACATTTTACTCCAGATTCCACGTATATCCTCGTGCTAAGTAAATAATCTCCGCAGGTTTCTTAAAAACTTGCTGAAGGCTGTGGAAGAAAGTGAGTGCAAAGGCCTCGTACGTTAGGTGTGGTGAAAGAAAGGGGGTGCCTATGCTGCTACAACGCTGTGATAAAGTGCAGATCTGAAGAGATGCAATGATGAGGATTATGAATTGAGCTTAGAGATACAAGTTTATTTAAAGAATATCGTGTAAAACCAATTACATACCAGTAATGGAAAGGTATAAGCCTGTGCCCGCCAGGCTATTATAATACCTGGTTTAGTTTCATATTGCAGATGCTCTCCAAAATTCGCACTTCAGTCTCTACATGCTTCAGCCTTGCCCACAGAATATCAAACGTTTCCTGGTGTTTTTTGTATTTGCACCTACGCCTCAGCAGTTGCTTCATTCTAGTTTTGGTCCCGCGCAACGGCTTCGTAGGTTCGGCGCGACCGGTTAGTATATCAAGTTTTTGTTGAATGGCATTCATGACATTCGCAGCTTCACTACAGTTATCGAGAAGCGACCAAACCTGTTTGTCCTGGAGCGACTTGACTTTGACCAGATCTTCTGTCGTTGGGAAACCCCTGCGGCGTCGGTGCCAGTCGCATACATCTTTTACTTCTTTAGCTAAGGCCTTTTGTTTCTGCTCTATCTGGATAATGGTTTGTAGTGATTCGCTAGAAACCTTCAGGAGTGCCTTATGTGAAGGGGTGTCAGGCACCGAGCTCATATTTGAATTTAACAGAGTGGGTGTCAGAAAAAGGTTACAACGTAACGAGGGTTCTAAGTTTTACGATTGTTACGTTTAACTGGGTAATAACAGTGGCCATATGTAACTAGAACGTTTAGATAACAAACGATGGCCGACAAGCTCCGAGAGGGCCATGTGTCCAATAGAAACACTGGCCCCGGGCAGAGTGTTCTCAACCGGCCAGGCCATAAACCAGGCTATTCAAGCTATTCAGGCTATTAAGGCTATTAAGGCCATGCCCAGGCTATTCAGGTGGCGTCAGGGGTTCAATTAGGTTGAAGGCAACGGTTGTATGACAATGTATGACTTACTGTAGTGCTAAGTACCTATTTATTTCCGCAACAAAAAAAATACAATAGGCAGACCCATGTGCAAAATTAGGCAAGGGTTGCACGACATAGATGTAATTTTTTTTTTTTTTACTCGTTATGTACTCCTATGCGGTCCAGGAGAACCATGAGGAACCCGGGTGGATTCAAGGGCGAGGCAAGTTAATCTGCCAAGTGCAACGCTAAATACAAACTGAGAGGGACCCCATGCTGTCATTAACGGACAGTGTCAGAGACCCGTAGGGCCTGACTGAGCCCCTCCCCGACCTCAAATTGAACTCGCGAGAAGAGAGATAAACTAATAGAAGATGAACTGGAGAAAGGGTGAACTGATACAACATAGAGGTAAGAGCAAGTACTTACAGTGGAGTCCCGTTATAAGAAACAGTGCTCCGGTCCGGCCAGAAAATGTATGGGAAAATAAGAAACCCTCGTTACTAGCAGGTTTCTTAAGTATTCGCTTAGTAATACATATAAAATTGTGAGTTTCTTATAACGAGTTCTAAACAAGTTGAGCCAAACATATTGTGCAAATTGTTTTATCACTAGTACACATTCAACTACAACATTTCGGGCCTTATTTTACACATCTACACCCAGTCAATTGTGATCAATTGTCATTTTGTTACGCTCCTACAAGTTCTCTATACCCAAGCCACCTATGCCACACAAGGATATTCAAACTCGCTAGGCATGGAGTCAGAAGGAGCGGGATGATATCTGCAATCAATGTACACTACATCCTGGGCATAGCTATCAAGAGATAAAGCAGTGGTTCAATATGAGCTGGCTCCTCTACATGAGTCAGATTCTGGGGGCGGTGATGCTCCTCTTATGCAGCTGCGCTTGAAGGCCTGGAAACTCTACGTCATTTTCGTCTCCAAAACTCCCATGTTAATGCACGGAAGGGCGCGCAGCTAGAGGCTCTTCTGTATAGAGAGAAGCTGGATATTGAGGGGTTACAAAGCATGGCGCGAGGCAGAAAACAGCAAACAACAATTACTGATTTTTTGGGGCCTCGCTCGGACATTTCTTGATTTTTATGTACATATCCCGATATAATAAACCTCCCGTTATAAGAAACTCCCGGCCGGTCCCGAGGGGGTTTCTTATAACGGGACTCCACTGTAGACCTATATGTTCTGGGCCGCTCGTGGGCATCGGCCGCCCGCGGGCAGCACATGCCGCTCACGGGCAATTTAAATAATCACTCAATTTGGTGTATAATGCACTTGTATTGATAAAGGTTTACGAGGACTGATTTACCCCCCAAAAAAAAGAATTGATAACGGTATACCTAGCTGGAGCGACTGCAATAGATTCATGTATTTCCCAGTCAATTAGACCTCCATCTAATATTCCAATTTGCTTCAGCTAGAGCTGAGAGGTTAATACAGTCATGATCTGTTAACACTTTCGTATGTCAATAAATTGAGAATTTCGGGTTATTCTTAGTTGAAGTATCGGCAATAACAATTAGAGTAGAAGTTTTTGCAAACACCTGAAACGAAAACACCAGTAGTTATACTTAGCAATCTGCGTATAAATAAGTACCTGTGAGTAAGAATGTACTGTTTTGCACCTTACCTGGATCGTATAAGTAAGAAATAGCTGGGGGTTTTCTTACTTATAGGATAAATCGTGCAATAAGAATACAAGATGTAGACCAAAAATAATATACTGATGATTATTCCGAACTTCACTGAATTCCATATAGCGCATCGATATTCAGTACAAGATAGCCTATAGAGCCTGAACCATAAGGCCCCATATATTAAAACTCCCATGGATAAGAACCGTAGATAAGAAACTAATTCTTTGCATAGGAGAGGTTGCAGATTTCTACGGTAGCAATAAACTCAGTATCCTCCTCTCCATTCCATTCATCATCAGAGAAGAAGGTGATGAGTTGTTATCTAAACAAGCATGTACTTCATCGTTTATAAATTTAAAGGGCTTGAGGTAATTTTTCCGGAATTCCCCTTGTTCAATGTCTGCCAAATCAACAGGAAGGGTATGTAATGTGGAAGGGGTAGTCAAAAATGGCTTCATAGGGTGTTTTTTGAGTGTAGCAGAATGTTTTGTTCGATTCACAGTTACCAAATTGAGGAATTAATAATTGCCCACGACCGGCACAGAGGGTATGCTGCCCGCGAGCGGCCCAGAACATATATCTTGTCTGTTTAAAGAAAAGGTATGCTGACACCGGCAAGATCATGGATAATTTTGACACTCCATCTTTGAATCTTATTGTACTAACTAAACTATTGTAGATATAAAGTCACAGCTTCATAGGAGAAATCAAATCATCCGCGGGATTAACTAGTAGTATCGGTCCAAGTACAGAGAGCACAAATCCACTCTGCGCCTAGAATTCGTCAAAAGATTGAACTCGACAATTGTCCAGAATGGCACTTGACATTCTAGCAATTCTGGCTATCAGTTTAGGGGTAGAGCGTGTGTTTAGCAAGTACAGGATTGATGGTGACAGACAGGAAGAATAGGTTGAAGGAGGATATTTTTTGAGTCAGTTTATTGTATGAAGTCATGGCGTATTTACTAGTCCAAACGCAACATACACTACACACCGCGAAATTTCGGTTGACCTTTGAGAAGTAATTCCCTAAAATTCAATTCAAGTACATGGTGTCTAACAAGAACTACCTAGATATCACAAAATTAAAGCATACCTCCGAGACCTAAACTTGAAGGCCCCGGCAGGTGATTTTCCAGCAATCAAGCTGCGGTGGAAGGCAAAATGAATATGAGCTGCGCAATAATGCATGTATTTATTGCTGGCAAAAAATAATAATGGAAAACGAGTGGTTTGGGAGCATGATGTATTTGTACGTACATGTTATAAGAACAAAAGCTATAGTACTATTAATGAGAGGTATCATGGAATTTCTCACAGTAAAGTATGAGGTTGATTGAGCAAGTAGATGTTTGAGCAAGCGGAGGTTTGAGCTTTTGTTATGTATAAAATAACGGACTCGGTTTTCACTCAATTTGCCTTCATACATTGCCCAGAGCGCACATATATGCCACTCCTGAATGCACCAGAACATATATACCTTAATACCTGATCGCCAGTTTGGATCGTAATTAGCCTAGACCCACAGAAGTTGATTCATCAGGGTCTAATTTGGCCAGTCTTTCAAATTTCGGCAGCATTAACACAGTTGAGCTAACTCTCATATCCTATTCCATAGCCAATCAAATAAGTATAGGTGCGGTTCATAATAATACATCAATCGATACATCAGTTCTGAGTTCCAATATAAATACTGTAAGCCTTAGCATACTACTAAGCCCGTTTGGCGCAATGGTAGCGCGTCGCCCTCCTATTTCGGATGTTCAGGCGAAGGCTGCGGGTTCGATCCCCGTGATGGGTGTATTTTCCTTTTATCTTTTCTGCGTTTTTTTATCCTGATTTTGGCCATTTGTGGTGTTTTGAAAGCTCCCATATATTTTAGATCTAAATAAAATCGTTGCTATGCGAACAAGGATGGCCGAGAGTTATACATAAATTTATATAATTATAAGCACATTAAAGCCTTACTTACAACTATACATATCCTTTTTAGTTATAACAAAAGAGGGTTTAACTAAGGGGAGGAGAAAGGGCATGGGTTTACAGGGTAAGGGAATGCGGGAAAGCTGATGGTATTTATTGATTAGTATGCGTGAGAAGTCTTACGGATCAAAGTAAATTCTAAAAAGATGGGGGGGGGTTCTGGAGGAAATGATAAATACTTAGTTCAAAGGCAACAAGACTAAGAACAGCTCGTACTTACTAGCGGTGCGTATTGGTGGCTACATGCCCACTCAGGAAAAGCGGGCAACTGTACCATAGCCCCAAGTCACCCTCGGCCTAACCACAATTAACACAGCGCACAACAGTCCTGAATCAACATCACATCATCGACCCACATTTTTATTTATTCCCACATCACAATACACCTGTACAAACCTCATCGAGGTCACTATGCCCCGACAGCTGTCAACCTCCCCTCCACCTCCGTCAACGCACTCGCGCTGTTCTGGCCTGCCCGGGAATCGGCTGATTCACGAATGGGCTGGCCTAGTCGAAAATGAGCCACTTCCCGGACAGGCCAGCCGCCTAAGAATAGCTATTCCTGATTGGGCTGCCTCTCCAGGTTGGCCTGATACAAGTATGTGGTCAGTTAAGGTAGGCATTACTTATATGCAGTCTCAGTAAAGGGATCATGATGAGCCACCCGGAAACCCAGGTAGGAACATACCTGAGACAAGACTGACATGCTACCAATAACCGACATCGTTGTATAAAAACCTCATCCTAACCGTCATGCTTTATTAACTACATGTGACTTATTAGATCAGCATTTTCCAACTCGAGAGCTGCTATACATTCTAGACTTATTACATACACTCAATATTCAAATTCTAGAAGGCCCTTTTTTTTTTTTTTTTTTTTTTTTGAAGTCTATACGTCTATGGAGCCTAAGGCTATGAGACGGCCCCGTTCCCTAAGTTAGGCCTGGGCACGAGACTTTGCGGTAAAAGTCTCTCCCTTGTCTTTAACAGACTTGGTACATCCACGGAACAACGGACTGCATAAACGCCAGCATCCCAAACCAAAGAAACACGAAATAACCCCTACAACCTCCGCCACGCCCTCTAGCCGGCCCTTCCCCGAGATATGCACACCCTCCGCCGCCACGCCCCTACCGGCCTCCCTCCGTATCCCCACAACCCTCCCACCCCTCGACCTAGGCTGGATCCAGGTTCGAGAAGAATGTCTCGACCAGGTCCACCGTGTACTCCTCCCCCCCGTTGCATTCACTGTGAATCACACACTTTTTCAGGGCCTGGTACTGCAGCTTCTCGCGGGATGTTTCCGGGCAGGCCAAACCAACCGGCCACCGGCCAGTGGCTGGTGTACACTCTACATGCTGACTGATCTATGACTGATCTATGTATATGGCACTACCACAATCCGAGCGAATGGCACGACCACAATCCGAGCCAAATGTTATTCAAGCTATCTACATCAGTTTTCTCAACGGGCCGGCCAGGCCGGCCTCAAGTATGGCCGGCGCCGGCCTGGACCTGACAGACCTCTGCCGGGGCCTGGCCTGAATAATCAGGCAGGCGAGATCTTGGCCTGGGCCGCCTGGACTGGCCTGCATGGCCTGGACTGGCCTGCATGGCCTGGACTGGCCTGCATGGCCTGGACTGGCCTGCATAGCCTGGACCGCCAACGCAAAGTTCACACAAGTACCATTTTTATAAACAATCATGATATGAGATTAACTAACTACTCTTAGAGAGTAAACTGACGAATCGCAATGATAGTTAAGAGAAGAAAATACATGACTCTGAGAAGAAACCAACCGCAAATACTTCAAGTCAAAAAGTAACTACTCCGCATTCACCTTTGCATTTCCAATCACATTCGCATCGATACCCATCCCTTTAGCTTCCAATTGTTCCAACATAACTCGAATCTGTTCAGTATCCATGGCCTGGACCGGCCTGCATGGTCTGGACCGGCCTGCATGGCCTGGACTGGCCTGCATGGCCTGGACCGGCCTGGACCGGCCTGGACCGCCTGGACCGCCTGGACCGCCTGGACCGCCTGGACTGGCCTGGGCCGCCTGGACCGCCTGGACCGGCCTGCATGGCCTGCATGGCCTGGACTGGCCTGCGTGACCTAGAGGTCGGCCCAGACCACGAGATACTCCGCCGGGGGCGGTCCAGGCTGTTTCAGGCCAGCACGGACCTCGGCCGGCAGGTCAGGCCTCCGGCGGCCTGTAGGACGGCCTCCGGCGGCCTGTAGGACGGCCTGGCCCGTTGCGATCACTGATCTACATATGTATGATGAGTGTAACTATCTAACTAAATTGCGACCTTAGAATAATAATCTGTAGTTCCGACGCTGGCCATGATGGATGCAACCATAGCGAACTCGCCCTGTAGTATCAGATCCTGCTGTTTTTACTACTGCAAATCCCATTATGAAAACATAGTCTTGTAGGCGAGAGAATGCAGCATCAGGATGCTCAAAGCTTTCTCCTGATACTGGAGCCAGGCGATGGGCAATGTTAATAGACTCAACTGCAGATTGTAAGTACAGCTGGCAGAAGAGAGGGATCAAGACAAGGGTCTGGAGACCAAGCTGGACTTATTGTGACTGGGTCTTGCTGAGCCATCTCTGGCGTTCGGATGACTATTGTTATTGTAGACCAGATGTTGCGTTGATTGTGTTGTGGTATGCGTGTTGTGTTGTGGTTCAGGCATCGGCCGTTCTGGCATGTTGCTCTGATACGCCGTTCGCTGTTAGTCATGATAGATCAGTCAGCATGTAGAGTGTACACCAGCCACTGGCCGGCGGCCGGCTGGTTTGCCCTGCCCGGAAACATCACCGGCTTCTCGAGCTCCTCTTCCCAATCCAGTCTGCCCTCTCCAGCCCAGTTTTGCTCCCCACAGTGCCACTGCTCGGATCATACCTGTATACATATGCAGCCCTCCAGCTGTTGGCACTCATGCCCCAATTTCAGTGGTCGCAACGGGCCAGGCCGTCCTACAGGCCGCCGGAGGCCTGGCCAGCCGGCCAAGGTCCGTGCTGGCCTGAAACAGCCTGGCCGCCTCCGGCCGAGTATCTGGTGGTCTGGGCCGACCTCTAGGCCACGCAGGCCAGTCCAGGCGGTCCAGGCGGTCTAGGCCTGCCCAGGCGGTCCAGGCCGGTCCAGGCCGGTCCAGGCCGGTCCAGGCCATGCAGGCCATGCAGGCCGGTCCAGGCTACGCCTGGGCTCGAGCTTTTTCATAAGCGAGGTAACAAAATAAATATACATGAATTAAATACAAAGGCCAATTCCTAATCATCCTCATCCAAACTTTCCGCAGGAAACCCCGAAATATCACCATCTACACTAAGCTCTTGAAGCCGGTCCAGCAGCTCCCGCTCCGCAGTCAACTCCTCTGCCGTAACCTCCGGAAAACCCTAAAATCTTGCACCGCTGGAGTGGAGCGTGATATTGCTGACATTGCGGAAGTTGCGTGTAGTAGGTAGGTTGCAGAAGTTGCGTGTGGTAGGTAGGTTGTTGAAGTTGCTAGGTTGCAGAAGTTGCGTGTGGTAGGTAGGTTGCAGAAGTAAAGAAAAAATATTGAATTGGAGGGGGGGAAGCCGCTATATTCAGTGATATTACCCTTGCTCCCACACCTGGATATCCGCGGGTTCTGCCGGCCCGAAGATACATCGGGCTCGAGCCGGCTCGGACTCGTGCCCAGGCGTAGTCCAGGCGTAGTTGCTGTTGACTAGGGTAGAATATCCGACGTTTTCGGCTGAACTTATACCCTGCTATGCGATCTCGGAGTGCCTGTACACACTAATCTGAATTTTGGGAAGGCGCCAACAAGTATGCATGCAATGTTACAGTTATGCGGTTTTTAGCCCCTTAGTGTGTCATTTTTACTAACAAAAAAACTCGTCAGGAGCTTGGTATGCGTTATCAGAGGATATGCGCTTATACCGGATGCAAAGTCATAGGTTCGACTGTACTAAAATGGTACTTGCGTGACCTTTGTCTAGGCAGTCCAGACCAGTCCAGGCCGGTCCACGCGGTCCAGGCCGGTCCAGGCGGTTCAGGCTGGTCCAAGTGGTCCAGGCCGGTCCAGGCTGGTCAAGGCGGTCCAGGCCGGTCCAGGTGGTCCAGGCCGGTCTAGGCGGTCCAGGTGGTCCAGGCCGGTCTAGGCGGTCCAGGTGGTCCAGGCCGGTCTAGGCGGTCCAGGTGGTCCAGGCCGGTCTAGGCGGTCCAGGGCGGTCCAGGCAGTCCAGGTGGTCTAGGCCAAGACTGATTATTTAGGCTAGGCCCTGGCCGAGGCCTGTCTGGTCCAGGCCGGCCTGGCCGGCCCGTTGAGAAAACTGCCTAATTTGAGTTCCCCAACCTACTCAGCTGTCTAAGCATTTTTCGTACCTTCTCTATATGACTTTTTCAATACTCCCTGAAGGTCAGACCTTCATCCATGATGAAGCCTACCCACTTAACCCACTTAACCCACTTAACTTCCTTATTCCTCCTCCTCTTCTGCCGTAGGACCAGCTTCTTAAGTCCTCTAAGGGTAGATGACCCACTCCTCAGCTATTCTGTGCACTGCCTCGTCCGATCTCTCTAGGACTTGGCTTATGTTCATGCTCTTTGCTATATCCTTATCCTAATTACAAACATTTAGGTGGAGGTAGTCTACGTACGAAGGCAACTCATTATCGAAAGTTGTCACCTCCTTATTTTCACCTCCATTCTCCGGATTATCGAGGCCATCCAGATTAGGAATATGACTGTGATATTGGTGAGTCTTGCGGAGATCCCAGATTTGTCCTTCCCCTGCCTCTAACGATCCCGTATTGTAGAAGGCTATAATAGTCTATTTCTGAGTATGACTGGCCTAATATTACACTACAATATATTATACTTCAAGAAGCTGCTAGTCTCTTTTCTACATACTCTATTTATTTATTTTTCTTAGACTTATGTTATGATAGAATTCTTGCAAGAAAATGCCAAACCTGATAATGCAGTTATATTAAATCTGAATTTGCATTGCAGTAGCCGCTGCCAACCATCATATCACTGCCTGAATACTCCTATTAATCAAGAAACACAGTCGTAATTGGATTAAGGAAGTGGAACTAAAGGAGTCTACACAGCACTTGGAAGCAGACATTGAAAAGCATAGTAATATCTCATTGAATACAATTCATGTTTGTCAGCTCTGATATACTTTCATCTTCCAGGTACCTTCATCAAATTACTATACTTGGTAATCACATTCCTGGGGAAGCCAACCCATGCTCTGGTCGAATCCTGCCTCCCTCAAAAAGAGATTTCCCAACAGCCAAGGGGCATGGGTTTGTCCTAAGGAGGTTTCCATGCTTAGTCAGTGAAGTTCATACTGAGACTAGCTTGGTAGTGGAGGATAGGATTCGCGAATCAGTAAAATTCCCGGGCAGGCCAGCAACAATTTCATTAGCCCGAAATTTGACTGAAATCGAGCATTTATTCGAGGATATGCGAACTAGGTAGCCGTCACAATTACCGCAGATGCTTTCTCGTACTTTTCTTCTATAGAACAGGAACGAAATTAATAGGAGTTCCTTTTTTGTCAGTTTATTTGAGAAATTTGGATATATATCACTACGGACCTGACGCAAAGACAGCACTACAGCGCCTACAACACAGAAAGTCGGTCCTCTAGGAAAACAAAATAAGAAACCATCCTGGGTCCGGCCGATATTTTTATCAGGGAAGTGAAGTACAGTACAATTTCATGACGCGCTCGTCAGTACGTGTGGGCTTAGGATTGTTCGGGGAAGGGGTGCTGGTAGGTAACACGTGGTCACGAGAATGAATTCGAGACGGCACCGGTAGCTGCCCTAACTTGATTGAGGCCGATGGGAACTGTATATATATTGTCCCTCGCGGGGATTGGTGATGCTGACTACATGTATGTACTTCCGGTAAATCACCATCCAGTCTTGTGAAGTATGTACGTATTGTTCTCAATGGGTGGAGTTACGGTAACTGCTGATATACAAGTACAGCAATTTACGGGTCAATGGGATATATGTACTGCTCAACGACTAGAGTATATTAGGAATAAGTTGTGCTAAATAATACAGGCCTCTCAGGTGCAGGTCGCAAGATGTCAGGCACACAATTGTAATGAATACCTACACCTCCAAAACATTCTCTTCTACTACCTCTATATGTTAACATATCTCATAATCCTCGAAATGAGAAATAAACTAACTTGAGAGCTTCAGTCTTCCTCAGTCTGTGATCGTTGGGTTGTGCCATATAATCCACTTCCAATGTTGACCTCTTCACACCATCTACGACTGCAGCTTTCTCTATACCGTATCCCATAATGATCCTTCAGATCTGATTGATAGGCTTTTATCGCTTGCTGTATTCGCAATTCTCCTTCCTCTCTTCGATCTCATATCTTGAAACTGCGTGATTACAGAAATTCACTCTTACCTGCGTATTCTACTAATATTGAAGCCCTAGGCACATACACAGAACACATCGCACCTGCAGGCAACCAACCCTCATGGGCTAGGCTATCCCGTTGACCTGTAAATTGCTGTAGAACTGAGGACCACTTAGGTAAGCTTGTGTAACCTCCGTATGTACCGAGCCTTTATCTGATTCTTTGACGCACTCGGAGCATCAAGGATTTCTTAGCAAATTGTGCTATACTTACTACCGGCCGCGTTATTTAGACCGTTAAAAAAAAACCCAAATTATACATCCAGAGATATGAGTTCCTTTAGCTTTATCTGATTCTTAAACGCAATTTGAGCCTCAGTGAAACCTGTTTCTGGGATCTACTGGTCGCTACTACTTAGTCTGGGACGCGCGACGAAAAATAGTTTCAAAAACCTCTTTGGCGGGGAATTGAACCCCGGTCGCCCGCGCTCAGTCTTGATGAATACATGTACTTACCACTATACTACCAAAGATCGTTGAAGAGCATATTTGCCGGCAAATTATGAAGTGGCTGCCGGCGGAGTAAATCAAACTCTACTTCTCCACCAGAGACAACCACACCTCATAAATAAGATAGGTATGCCGAATATCAAAGTACATAAGCAATGGAAAATAATTGCGCCTCCGGAGACAAAGAATCACGGGGGATCGTACTCCCCAAATCGTTAATCATATATCTTATGTATATACGGCACCCACATCAGCAACCAAAACTCTCGTAATAAAACCAATTCAAAAATGCGGAAACACCTCCACCCACACCACCGTATCATATGCACCAACCGGCAAGCTCCTCAAACTCGCAAACGCCTCGACCAGAATATACAATCTCGTCACCGGATACAACAACACCATGACACACAAAGTAATTCCGAATCCTGCCACCACCGCCCACACCACCAAACCTATCATTGCCAGGAGTGGGTAGAAAAACAGTACCTCACAGACGAGCCGTCTTTCGGGCGGAATGACATGACCCATTTGAACGCAAGAAAAGGCATTTTGAATGGGTTGCTGGTCTCCCATGTGCTTTCTGTAATTCCGAACAAGAGGAGTAAGGTTGGTACTCCACATGCGACGCAGAGACCGGAAAATCGCCATAGGTACCGCTCGAGGTAGGTTGGGAAATGGGCTTTCCAGGGTGTGAGATGGACACCTCCATAAATCGCGGGGAATATGAATGTGGCTACCCATCCTGCGTATTCGCTCCCCTCCGATTTAATGGAGCCTTCGAGCACAAAGTTGCTCGCCTTCTTAGCGCACCCAACTCCTCCGTTATGTTGGATCTCCTCGCAAAAGTCTTTCCAACTAGACTTTGACTTGCCAAACGTAGGGATCTTTCCGCTAGAATAATCAACAAGGAACTGTGCTTTCTCATAGGTAAGAAAGGTTTTATCCGAGAATGAGATATATGTCCCTGTGGTGTCGCTGTTGGATATCCAAAATTGTCTCGCCTGTAGTTTCCCCGCCGCTTGCAGGTCTAGATCTTTCTTCACGCCAGGAACCATCGGGGCTGTACTCAGCGACTGAGGCCCGTGCCAATTCTGGAACCACGTATCTGAATATTCCGCCTTATGCTCAAACACTCCATTTTTCCACCGCAGGATATGACCAAGTGCTGGCGACATGTCTGGTTTCTCCTGTTTCACCTCCTTGATACTTAACAGCGTGCCCAACGGCTTTCTCTTATGCCTATCGTAGATAATTGTTGGAATCCCTACATCCTGTGGTTTCTTGAGCCAGAGTAGGTACATCATCAACGCACACACAACATGCATAATGGTATTCAATTCCAACAATGTAATAGGGAGTCGTTCCACCTTCCTCGCAAATGCCTGGACCAGCATCCAGCACGCCTGAATACACACAAGCGTCTTTGTCAACATATCTGCCTTCGATTTATCGTTTATGCCCTCAATAGACAGCGAGGGGAGTAGGCCTAGGCGTGCCAGGAGGACTGTGCCACACGGGGTGACAGTCCGCCTGATGTCGCGGATATCGCCGCGTTTTTCTTCTTTGCCGATAACGACTTCGAAACCCCCCATGGCGGCGTAGTAGCCGCGCTCGAGCTCCTCGGGGTTGATGAGGTTTCTAAGACGGGTATACCAGGAGAGTTTGGGGGGCATTGTGGGGTCGTGGGGGAGGAGCCTAGAGCGGGAGGATTTATAAGCCAGCTGACATTGTGGTCAGTACAGTAGGTGAGCAAAGTTCTGACGTGGGAAGGATTTTTGTGGAGGGGTGTATGCACCTCGAGGTCATTGTAATAGTCATCGTCGACATCATGATCGTCGTGCTGGGGTTGTTTTTCCGCCTCTGGACCTCGCTTCTCAAACTCCCTATGGTATTACACCTTGTCAACCCCCGGAGAGCGATATAGCACCTAAATCAAATCCTACCTACCTCGCATTGTCAATCTTCCTCAGCCTCATTGTCACCAACCTTGCCTGTATAAACTGTGACCAAGCCGTATACAGCACCAACTCGGGCCCAATCAACCCCATAAACATCCACCATATTCTCCTCCATAAAGGCACCGCGAAGCCGCCCCTCCGACGCTCTTTGTACCGTGGGATGTTGAGGTGGATTGCGGTCCAGACGCAGATGAGGAGGGTTAAGACGCAGCTAGAGATGAGGTCGAAGGTGGAGCGGATATTCGTGCTGCCTTGCCAGAGGGGGGCGGAATCGGAGGTGGGTCGGAGCAGCCAGGATTTGCCAGTTGAAGTGGACATGATTCTGTGTTGGGGTTGGGGGCGGTATATTAACTTTTTATATATTTACTTGGATTCCCCTTTCCTGAAAATAATGAATCTTTTGTATATAAATTCTGAGGCTGCTCATCCGTAGGACACGATTATTATGTCTTTGCTCCGCATGGCACCACAATAAACGTTTTTTTTCAGAGCGAACCACAAACCACAAGGATACATATGTCGTCGGGGAACACCGCTCGTTGTACACGTAAACATTGTATATACTTACAGTACATCTGGTAAATATTCAGCTGCCCCGCCATTAGCTGTATGTAAGGATGTATCCGAAATTGGGATGATGGGACCTTTCACCGGTTAGCTTCCTTTGCAGTAGCACTCGCGTGTCGTCTAAATACGATTGGCCCAGAATAACGATTCGAATCGAAGGTCTATTGGTAACATAACTCGAGCCGGAAATGTTTTGTCTTAGCCCTCTCAGCCGCACGCATGGTCATATGGAACTGCCATAGAAACTGTCATTACCATGCATCCCAACTATTTTTGAACAGAGAGTCTCCCTTGTCAAAAACTTACATGCACAATAGACTTCCGCTACCCTTGGCGGGGGGGAAGTGACCAATCACCGTCTAGTGGCCACCCCTGAAATCCCTCCTGCAGCCCCCCCTGCAATTGAAATACGTGATATATCTAAGCATAGATAGTAAGAACTTCATAATAGCCAGTTGCGTAACTATGGAAACAACTACGCTCTACAACATGGTAGCCCTCATATCTTATCAAAATCAACCTAATACCTAATAACCCACCCTTCCAATATAAGCTCTCTGAGAACCCCCCCTACCTCCTTCTATTCCTACCACATGCGGAAAATCATATGAATAAGCTCATAGACACTAGAATAGCTTAGCTATGCATCTATATTTATGTTAGAAAAATTATAAAAAAGATTGTTATAGCAATAAGAAAATGGTAGGCTAAGAGATAAGTGTACTAACATCAGCAAAATAGGCGATATCAAGAGCTCTCATTGAATTCGCCAACTCCTCTTCATCTGCACTATCTTCAACCTCCGCATCTATCCCTAGTGCAACATCTCCATCAACTGCACTCTCTAGTTCTTCTTCAACTACCATAGAAAGATCACTACCTCCAACCCCCCTTTAGGCTTTAAAGGACGTTTTGGCCGAATAGGGTAGGAAGGTTTTTTCCCAGCTCGCTTTGATCCTTGAGTAGCCTTAGCAGCTGCCCATGCCTGATCAATCTCTGTACACTCTGCTTGCCATGCTGGTATTTCAATGTCACGATATCGTTCTAGATCAATCTTCCACTGCTGCTCTAGAAGCTCTTTAGCTGCCTTCTTTTGTCCTGCCAGTCTTTTTTTTTCTTCCGCAATTCGCCGTCTCTCAGCTTTTACTGCTTCTGACTCTGCAAGCTTCTTAATTCCTTCATTAACATATTGATAATTTAGTACTCGAGCTTCGCCAACATGTCTGGATCTCTTTCTCCCTTTAAGAACCTTGCCATTCCGAAGCTTATTGAGAGTTTCGGCACGAGGGGCAATATCCTGATACTGCGTAACCTTTTCTGCATAAAGATCAATAAGCTCATGAACCATCCCTTTCTCACTATTATTTAGCTTATGGTAGATTATATCTTCAACCTCTCGAGCAGCCTTGCGAAGATGTGTAGGGGTATCTGAGATAGATGAAAATGCAGGTGAAATAGCATGTGAGACAGCGCTTGCAACTGAGACAACAGCAACAGGGGGTTGGGGGGGTTGAATTGAGCGGTCAATAGGCCAGCAACGGGCAGCCCTCCATGTACTATGAATAATATCGTTGGTAAAAACCTCCTTTCGAGTCTGTTGAAGAATATCAAGGAATTCAACCTTAGTTATTCCTAATAAAGGATTGCTGCATAGCCATGTACTGAGGTTGCGTTCATAAGTCCGCTATAATAAAGAAAAGCAGCCAACATCAAGAGGTTGTAAAAGGTGGGTAGACTTAGACGGAAGGCAGATCATATGAATATTATGATCAAGAGCATATTTGACAACTCGCCATGCCACATGAGAGGAATGGCCATCTACAATTAGACATCGCAGTGGTGGATCACCATCATATTCACAAGCACCCCCCCCCACACCCCAACGAGTATAAGGCTCGAAATGCTGCTTTATATATTCAAACCTAAGCTCATCATCCATATATCCACTTGGAGATACTGCAAATATGGCCTCGTGCTCAACCCCTCCCTCCCGATAATAAGATTCCCGATGCGTTTTCCCCTGCCAGACAATAAATGGTGGGATAATTTCTCCTCCAGCACTAACTGTCTCCAATACACTGCAAAACTCACGAGAACCCTCTGTCATAGCTGTAGCCTTACTTCCAACTCGTACAATTGCCATACTCCGCCTACTATTTCTTCCCATTGTAATACCTTTCTCATCACAATTCCAGATATCATCCTGAGCTATCCTCTTCCGTCGTACTAAATTTGCAAGCTTTCGGAGAAAATCAGCTTGTAGCTCCGTATCATTTGTTGCTGCTGCGCGTGCTCGCTCTTGGTAACGAATATAGACTTTTTTGAAGCCTGGATTGCGGTCAAGAAATCTATCCACCCAGTGCATGCCGATAACATGGATAGGGGCGCTGGCGCTAGGAGTACTGGCCCTGGAAGTGCTGGCGCTGCTAGTAGAGCTTGGAAGGCTGCTGGGGGTCTTGGAGCAAGGTGGGTTGACTTTCTGGGGTATCTGCCTC